GTGTCCTGTAGGGCCCTGTCGCTCAGCCTCCCAAGTCACCTGAGCTGGGCACTCTAGGTGAACACTGTGTGGGCTGTATGCACAGTCTTGTTGTAGTTGATCCCTGATTGCTGTTGGTATCACTAGGAGGAATTGACCTCCAAGCCAATTGGCTGTGAGGAACAGCTGTGACTACAGTGGAAGAGCTGCTATGCAAGAGACACCCCTAAGGAACAGGACTTGCTTCAGTGTGATTTTGGTGCTCACTGATTCTGCCCCTTGAATGTGTCATTTGTGGATGTGTAGAGTTGTAATCTGGCATGGTCTGAAACTGTCCACTGGGTGCACTGGTTTTGGGGCCTCCCAGGAGGTGCAAAGTCAGCCACTGCCTGAGACCACCCAGCAGGAGCTAAAGAGCAATCTGCAGATGGCTACTACTTGTAATTGGCTTGGAAGTGCCCTGGTGAGGCCAAATTGTGAAGCAAGACAGGCTGGTGCTAGTGCTGGATCATGAGCCTCTTATTGATAGGTAAAGAGCATGCTGACACCAGCTGCTGCTTATTTGAGAGATTTTAGGAAAGTCTGAAGCCTGAGACAGGAAAGGCCATTTATATGTAAAAGCCGCTGCAAACAGCTTGGGTGTGGCTGCAAATTGGATGGGACGGGGTCTCAGAGGATCAGCAGGGTGGAATGAACAGTGTGAGCCAGTTTGATGGAAACTCAGATATGGCTACCAGTCAGCTCTGCAATGGGGGAAGTCCCAGCATAGGAACAATGACCCCTGTGAGCACCCCATTTGGGAGAAAGCTGCCCCCTAGTTCCTGCCCCAATGCCAGGCAATCCAGTTCCTCTCTATATGTCCCTGGATCCCCCAAAGCCACTGCCCAGTGCTGGAGCTCAGAGGCAGTGAGTCTGTGTAAGTTTGTGCTCTGGCACTTTAAGAGGAACTTCCTGGGTCTCCAGCAGCCTCTGTGTTACTCAGCCACAACCTCTGCTGGTTTTTACAGCCCAAAGTTACAGGGGCTTCTCTTCCCAACTATGAAACCCTGGGCTTGGGTGCTGGAACCCCTGCTTCTCATAGGAGGCCTCCACAGTGGAGATAGCCCTCCTGATTTAAAAAAAAAAAATGTCATTAATGTGTCAGACCAGCCTGTTCCGCATCTCCACCCCTTTCTACTAGTCTCAATGTGCTTTCTTCTTTACTGCTCTAGTTGTAGGACTTCCATTCCGCAAGATTTCAGGCGGTTGGGAATGATGGTGATTCTGTATTTTAGTTGTAATTTTGATGTGGTTGTGGGAGGCAGTGAGTAGCCATGTCTAACTATGCCACCATCTTGGTTCTCGCTGATTTCTATTCTAATCTTTATTATATCTTTTATGCTGCTTATTTTGGATTTCACTTGCACTTTTTTTCTAGTTTTTTTTTTTTGATGAAAGCTTAGGTTACTTATTTTAGACCTTTCTTCCTATCTAATATAGGTATTTAAATCCATAATCGTTTTCTGTAAGCACTGCTTTCACTGCATCCAATAAGTTTTTGGTATATTGGGTTTTCATTTCCATTTACTCAAAACTAGAGGCCCGATGCACAAAAATTTGTGCACTTGGGGGGTCCCTCAGCCCGGCCTGTGCCCTCTCACAGTCTGGGACCCCTCGGAGAATGTCCACCTGCTGGGTTAGGCCTGCTCCCTGGGGGATCAGGCCCAAGCTGGCAGTCAGACATCCCTCTGGCAGCCCAGGAGCCCTCAGGGGATGTCCACTTGCCAGCAGGGAGCAGGCCTAAGCTGCATTTGGACATCCTTAGTACTGCTGAGGAGGCGGGAGAGGCTGCCACCACCACCGCTGTGCTGGCAGCCGTCAGCCTGGCTTGTGGCTGAGCAGAGCTCCCCCTGTGGGAGCACACTGACCACCAGGGAGCAGCTCCTGCATTAGGTGTCTGCCCCCTGGTGGTCAGTGTGTGTCATAGTGACCAATCATTCCCAGTCATTCTGCTGTTAGGGTCAATTTGCATATTACCCTTTTATTATATAGGATAGAGGCCTGGTGCATGGGTAGGGAATAGCTGGTTTGCCATGAAGGGTGTCCCAGATCAGGGTGGGGGTCCCCGCTGTGGTGCCCATGGGGTGTGGCCAGCCTGGGTGAGGGGCTGATGGCTGTTTGCAGACTGGTCAAGCCCCCCAGTGGGGACCCTCACCCCATGGGGGTGCCTCTCCTTTTTTTCTTTTTCCTTTTTTATTCAGCACCTCTGTGAGCAGAGGCCAGGCTGGCTGGAAGCAAGTATCTGGGATTTATTTTTCTTCTATAATTGAAACTTTGTGGCCTTGAACGGAGGCCACAGCCGGCCAGGGCCGGTGGGAAGCTTGGCTTCCTCCATTGCCGGGGCAACCCAAGCCTCCTGCTTGCTCTAGCTCTATGGCCACTGGCTGCCATCTTGGTTGGGTTAATTTGCATAGTCGCTCTGATTGGCTGATGGGCTTGGCTTGTGGGCATAGCGGAGGTATGGTCAATTTGCATGCTTCTCTTTTATTAGATAGGATATTTTCTAATTTCTCTTGTGATTTCTTTTTTGGCCCAGGTATTATTTAGAAACATGTTGTTTTAAATTTTAAAACATCTGGCAATTTCCCAGATCTCTTTCTGTCATAAATTTCTATTTAATTCTGCTGTTGCCAGAGAACAAACCTTGCATGATTTCTTACATACCCTGGGGTTTGCATACCCTAGGCATTCTTAGGAAGGATGGTTTTAAGGAAATCTATTTCTAGACCATCACCTTCCATGATATTCTTTCCTAAGAATTCTTAATTTTTGTTTAATGGCCTAGCATTTGGTCTGTTCTGAAGAACGTTCCAAGGACACTTGAAAATAATTTATCCTGTAGTTATTGGGTAGAGCATTCTTATGTGTGGGGTCAAATTGCTTGATCTTCTCTGCCCTTACTGATTTTCTGTCTAGCTATTCTATCAATTATTAAGAATGGAACATTAGAATCAACTATTATTCTAGAATCATCTACTTTATCTTTCAAATTTCTGTGTTTGCTCCATGTATCTGAGGCTCTTTTTTAGGTCCATATAGATTTATAATGACTGAATCTTCCTGATGTTTAGACCCATTATAATTATGAAACTTCCTTTGTCCCTTGTAATATTTCTTGTCTTAAATTATCTATTATCTTAAACTAATTTAGCTATAACCTCTCTTATTATTACTGTTTGCATGGCATATCTACTTCCATCCTTTGGATACTCTCTATTTACTACACATGCATGTTGCTTCAGCCAGAAACATGCTTGCCCCAACTGTGACCATGCAACACATTGGTGCCATTAACTCCAGCTCATGGGAACAATGAGCACCCTAGGGAAAAAGGCAATGCAAGGCCAGGGATGAGGACAGAGCAGCAGGAAAGGTGCGAGAGAAGGAGGCTCACCTCTGGTGCTGGCTGCTGGGATGGCTGTCTTTCTCTAAGGGTTCTGTGGGGATCACATCAGAACTAGGGACAGCTACTTTGATGTTCTCTTTCAGACTTATCTTGATGAAGTAGTGGGATATTGAAGTCACCTTATACCAATGTTCTATCACTTTCAGTGACATATGGAAACCTTACTTCTATTTAGGCCACTTTACCTTTCCTACTTTTAAATATCATAATGCTCTTCTTGAGTATCAGATGGCTTTATAATTTTTGTTTTAAACATCAAATATTATTTTTAAAACTCATGAGGGAAAAAAATAGTCTACTTACCTACCCATATTTATGTTCCATTATTCCTTTTCCTTTCTAATGCACCAAGATTTCCTCTTTTATTTCAATAATTTCTTTAAAAGTAAGCCTAATAGTGACAGATTTCATTAGTTTCCCTTAATCTGAAAATGCCTTTATTTCCCCTTTTTCCTAAAGGATAATTTTGCTGGATATCAAATTTGTGGTTAACAGTACTTAAAAAAAATTTTTTTTTGAAAAAAGTGGTTCCATTTCTTTCTGTCCTCCATAAATTCAGATGAAAAATATGTTGTCATTCAAATTTGTGTTCCTCTACTACAGCGGTTCTCAACCTGTGGGTCGCCAACCTGTGGGTCGCGACCCCTTTGGGGGTCGAACGACCCTTTGACAGGGGTCGCCTAAGACCATAGGAAAACACATATATAATTACATATTGTTTTTGTGATTAATCACTATGCTTTAATTATGTTCAATTTGTAACAATGAAAATACATCCTGCATATCAGATATTTACATTATGATTCATAACAGTAGCAAAATTACAGTTATAAAGTAGCAACGAAAATAATTTTATGGTTGGCGGTCATCACAAAATGAGGAACTGTATTAAAGGGTCACGGCATTAGAAAGGTTGAGAACCACTGCTCTAATAGGTAATACATTATTTCTCTCTGGTTGCTTTTGAGATTTTTTTCCTTTGTCTTTGGTTTTCATAATTTTCCTTTAACCAACTTTCAGAGTCCTCCTTTGGTGTCTCATATTATTTGTAAGGTTTATGTTTATGCTTAGCAGGGCAGAGCAGGGACAAATTGACCTATGCCATTTTGCCTGGATCAAAAGTCACACATTTTTAAACACTATGAGTTTGCAATATTTACTATAACTATTATGTTACTTATGAGGTTTGTCCGACCAGCTAAAAAGCTAGCATCTTAGCACATATATTACTAATGGCTGCGTTCTGCAGAGTGGGGCGGAGAACAAGCAAGCATCGTTGGGAAAAGATCGGGAGTGACTATGGTAAGAAGGCATCAAAGTGGTTCAGTCTAGTTGCCTGCCCCTTTCTAAATGAGGGACCGTCCTCCAGAGCAGGTGCCGGGCAGCATGAAACCACCTGTTTTCTGGATCCTCCGGGGGTGATAGCAGAGCATGGAGTCTGGAAATATGCAAATGCATGCGGGACACACATTTTTAGGCCAATTGGTGGACTAATATGAAGACCTTTAACTAAAGATACAAATTTAACCAATTTCTTGGTAATATCTAAAGAAAGTAAAAGCAAAAATAGTCTTACCTGTTCTGAGGGCATTTCACCAAATATTTTCTCACTGTGAAAGGAAAAAGAAATAAAAGATGGTGAAAAAATGCTACTTTAGACATATATACTCCAGGAATTAGGAGATGTATGTGCCCAGGTGTTGACCAGATGTTGGTTCCAGCCACCTCTCAGGGCTTTCACACTTCTCTTTGGATGAGTACAGTGGAGCCAGAGCATGAACACCAGTGACTTGATACTGTTCCACACCTGGATCAAGCCAGATATGAAGCCAAACACTCCAGACTTCCTGATTACTCAGTCCAAAACATTCAATTCTTTTTGCTAGGTTGAGTTGGATTTTAACCTGGAGGTTCCAGGAGTAACAGCACCACCCAATTTCTAAGCTCTGCCTTAACGATGAAAAGGCCTTTTCAAGGCCACCTGTTTCCATTTAGACTCTCCTTTCTATAGAGCGGGTTTCTGTTCTCTGATCAGTGCTCTTCCAGGACTAACAGGATACCCTTGGAAAGACAGTCTTAGAGCAAGATATCCTCCGCAGTAGGTCTCCTTGAGAAAAACAAGATTCTAGTTGTAGAGGACAAATAAGAATACCTAGGCAGTTAGCCTAACAAGTGTCCAATCTAAGCTCCCAGTTGGGTTCACATCAAATAGAAGTAAAGCGGGGGCAGCCACAGGGCCCAGGGTTGTGTGGTAGCATCCATGGCCCCAGTGATCACACCTGCCTGTATCTACCCACACTCATGTGTAACACCCTCTCACTTTGACTCTGGGCTTGGCCACAGGCATGCTTTGGCCAATAAAACAGTAGCCAAGCAGAGACCTAAAAGACCCCTGTGCTCCGACATTTGTGCATGCATGCTCACTCGGTCTCCCCGTTCCTCCCCCTTCTCCCTTCCCTTCCCCTCTCCTTCTATCCTCCTCCTCCTCCTCCTCCTCCTTGTCCTTTCTCCCTCCCTCCTCCATCCTTCTAAGGGATTCTTCTGCTTCCCCATGAAGAAGCCTAGCTAGCCTACTAGAAGATGGTTCCACATGGAACAGATGCAGGTCATCTCAGCTGAGGCCCCAAAGCAGGCCCTGCTGATGGGCCACTGGACTGCAGCTGCTGATACCTGGGTGCTCAGCTGAGCCCCAGCCCAAACAAGTGTCACAGCTGGGTTCACCGCAGATAGAAGTAAAGCTGAAGCCCACATAATTCGCACCTCAGAGTGAGACCATATTTGAAGGGAGGGCCTTTAAAATGCTGACCTGCAGTATTGTGAGCAAACAAAAGGCTGTTTAAGCTGCACATTTGGAGTATCTGTCAAGCAGGTGACCAGTTCAGGTTCCAGACCAACAGGATGGGACCAGCTTTAGAGGGGCTCTTTTAGGCTTCTCTGGCCCAGCCCCCTGATGTATCTAAACTCTCTCTGCATTCCAGTTACGGTCATCCCAGTACTATGTACTGGACAGCTTATAGATACAGAAGTAACAAAGTCATAGTTAGCATTTAAGGAACACAACATAGACTTCTGGCACTACTCCAAGCTTATTATATGGATCAGTGGCTTGTATACCTTGGGGTTTGCATGCCCTAGGCATCTTAGGAAGGGCGGTTTTAGGGAAATCTATTTCTAGATTCTCACCTTCCATGATATTGTTTCCTAGAATTCTTCCTCCTGAAACACGCCTGAGACAGACTGTACTCATTTCCTCCCTTCCGTCACATCACCCTTTCTATTTCAGAAAATTTAGGCCCACCCTCACCCTCCCTGATTTGTGCTATGAAGGGCTGTCCTGGGGGCAAAGGCCAGTGGGCACCAAACAAGAGATGATTTGAAATACTGATGCCAGTGTTGAGAAGGTGAATGACGAATGGCGGGGCCGCTAAACCTTTCACCGGGGGAGGTTTCCAATCTTTTGCTTTCAACAAGGACTGAATGATGACCTAAGCCAGTTGTCAGCGGGTGGGGTATCAAAAGTCATTTCCGATGATAAATTACTACATGACTTTGACTTATAACTGGGAAGCAGTTTAGAGTATTGAGTGGCATCAGAAAACTTGGTCCATCCCAGCCTCTGTTCATATTGAGCGAGGCACTTCAGAGCTTACAGCTATTAAAAACAGGAATAAAATTGATGCTAAAGTCTATCACTAACCAAATTTATACAAGGGCATATGAAGTAAAGTAAAAATCCATTTCAATAAAATCCATTTCTAATAAAATTTTACTTCTTATGATTATTAATTATTTATCTAAATTTTGTATTTATGTGGTTTTGATTAATTTTACAGTCATTTTCCAAATATTACTAATTGTGCAATATTGATAACTTAATCCAGAAAAAAATTAAAACCTAGAGACTTATGGAATAAGGAAATAAAAAATTTAATTTAAATTTTTATACATATTCTTTTACAGAAGTATAATATGGAAATCAATAAAGGATTTTTAAAACAAAAATGTACTAAAAAGCAGGATAAAGTTTTGTTAGGTAAGTGAGTGAAAATAAAAGCTCGGGGGGGGGGGGAACTCATAAAACTCCTGAAAGCTAAAACTTATTTATGGAGCCTTTTTAAATCAACAGAGGTAGTTACTAAATTCATGACATGTAGATGTAAAAGAAAGATTTAACCATTTCATTTTAAGATGTCAATATTTGTGATGCTGTGGAAATTACAACCTTTGCAACAATTTATATTTATGATGAAAAGGTTTTATTTGTCAACAAAACACATTCAAGGGTGCACAGAGTTGAAATGATTTGGGAATGGTGTGAGCAAAAGTGTTTGAGACCACACTTTGTACCCTCATCTTCACAGTAACTTTGTCATTACATCTGTGTTGCAGCAGGACTGAGGCACGGAGGTTAACAACCTAAGGCCGCACACCTAGTGTTAGGGGCTGAGCTATGTGCTTGCATAACTCGTACCTCAGAACTATATTTGAAGGTAGAGCCTTTACAGTTAAATCACATTTTAAAGTTAAATGAGGTCATGAGGACGGGCCCTAATCCACCAAAACCGGTGTCCTTATAAGAAGACGGGAGGAAGGAAAGGTGCACAGAGGCCAGACCACAGGAAGAAGGCAGGCGGCCACCTGAAGCTTTGCACTGGCAGCCTGAGCACCAGCACCCGGGAGGGCAGAGCTGAGGAGTCCAGAGCTCTCTCGCTTTTCTCTTGCTGAGCAGCTGGTGGCAGGGCTCCTGCAGGTGAAGAAACTGAGTCACAGGATAGATGCTGCCATTGGCCACAGCTGGAGAGGGCGGGGCCAGGGCTGGGCCCTAGGGAATGCCGTGCAATGGCTGGCCTGTGTCTCGGGGAGTCCACTCCAGCGGCAGCGAGGAGAGCAGCCTGGAGCCCAGGAAGCCAGGGAGCAGGGGCAGCAGAGGGGCTCCGTGAGCCCCGCACCTCCCCCGCACTTGCTTATGAGGCTTCAACCAGGTGAATGGGGGGCCTGTGTCCTTTTCATTAAAAAACTGCCCCAGGGGCCAACTGTGATCCCCAACTCAAAGGTGGGACTTCAGGCATCTGAGAACTAGACCTCGCCCACCTCGCCCCTAAGTGAGCAGAGCATACTCAGCGCTGGTTGCACCCCTGGGGTAACACCCTAGCTTGGGCTCCCCCAGAAGCAGAGCCTGTAGACAGGTTCCAGTGCAAACAGTCTCTGTGGGAGGTGGTCCTGGGAAACCCCTGGGGAGGGGGAGTGAGGCCAGGCAGACACGCCGTTAGGGGAGAGCCCAGAGTGGCGCTCGCCGTGGCCCCACACACTGGACTCCGAGGCCCGGCACCCAGCAAGGCCTCTGCTCCGCACAGAAACGAAGGGGCCAGGTGCAGCCCATTAAATGCCATCTGCAGACTTGCGGACTCCAAAAGGAAGGGCTGTTGTTCTCATCTCCCTGCCAGGGACACGGCTGTGAGCACCCCGCCTGGGCTGCCCTCTCTCTGCTGTGGCCACACTGCTCCCAGCCCCGCCTCATGGCCACACCTCCCAAGTGACATGTCCAGGCTGAGGCTTTCTCCTCCCCACCTGGGCCTGTCCCTGTCCCTGTCCCCACCACCCCCAGTGGATGATTTGGGGTGACAGCAGTTGTGCCCATCCCATCCTATCAGACCCTGTAGCAGTGTTGGGGCCTCCCATGGCGGCTGACCTTCCCATACCATTCCCTCCAACCTGCTGCATCCTCTGCAGACCCCGGGCCCTGCAGTGACCCCGAGATGAGACTGTGGGTGACCCTGCACTCCTGGGAGCACCTGGCAGCCTGTACAGGCCTGGCGTTTGCATACCCAGCCTCCTGGGCGTCAGCATAGGCAGGAGCCCTGCAGCAGGGACGCCCCTTCCTGCTAGCCCCTCCCTTGGCCCAGCAGTGGCTCCTCCCATGCCCAGTTCCTTCCTGTCTGGGGAACGCCTCCGCCAGCACAGTGGCCAGGCCAGTCGGCCAGCTCTCTGGGTCCCCAGGTGGAAAGCTGAGGAGTAAGCTTTTTGCCTCTGGTTCGAGGTACGAGGAGCCCCACAGTGAGGAGCACCCACGCATCGGGGTGTCTCTCTGGAGTCGTGAGCCCCAGGGGGCGGCCAGGCCTGGGAAATGGGACTGGTCCACACTAGACGTGCTGACGTGTGAGGCCACACTGACTCGGCCTTGTCACTGGAACCTCCCTATTGTCACTCATTGAAATGGCATTTTGGACACATCACGTTAAATAAAATAAATTGAAGTAAATTAAAGTTACTTCCCCCTTTATGCCCTTTTAAATGTGGCTGCTAGAAATGTCCCGTTACATACGGGGCTCACTGGGGACGCTTGGTCGGCCCTAGCGGTGGGGGTGGCGGACCCTGCAGTCCTCACGACCACGGTGGGCGAGGCGACCTGGTGTGAACAGCCCAGGAAGGAGGCGCTCCCTGGAGCTGCCACATGCGGGACCAGCCACCTCACGGGCAATGTGTCCCCGACAGCTCTGTGAGGTGAGAGGGACTCGCCTCCCCTCTGATGGTGGGGGCACGCGGCCGGGAAGTGGGGCTTTGTGAGTGAGTCCAGGCTGAGGCCCCGCGCTGTCCTTACTCGGCTCCTGGA